TATTTCCTATCACGGTATTAAAGTTCAATAAATGATAAAACGGTATTTCATGAATCAATAAATGTGTGAAATTGTTTAAGGTCGCTAATGGAGCCCGAGTCTGGTGTGTTTGTCGGTCAGCTGTTGTTTGGCCTATTTTATAGTTTTAAATGCAGTATGAGGTCTGATATTTTCATTTCATAGTTTCGTATGCATATATCATTGTTTTATTGATTATGGGTTGAATGACTGAGAACCCGATGTTGTATGTTGTCTTGTTTGGCATAAATTACTAGTTTGCTTGTTTGTGTGTGATTTGATGATGCTGACTGAGAAAAAAGGGGAATAAAAAGTTATGTAAATTGATAATTGTATAATGTGGTCAGCCTGACTAGATATCCTGGGAAATGGTGAACGGACCGGGTCCGTAAGGAACCCTACCGGGATTGTGGTCTCTCATACTGGACGGGGTATGGAGACCTTATGTGTTTTGGCGCCCATACCGGATGGGGTATGGGGACGGCCCGTTTCACCCTCATACTGGACGGGGTATTGAGGTTTATAGTTTTGGCGCCCATACCGGACGGGATATGGAGACAGCCCTGAAATCTGATTACAATGGTTAAGGGTTCACGGGTAGCGGGACCCCTATGGACCCCCATGGATACTAGTAGGCTGGTAAATAAGGAAAAATATGTTGTGTAATGATTGAAATGCAAAAAGCGTGATAAGTATTATGTTATACAGTTCATATGATTTCATGATGATGATAATGTTATTGCTTTCGTATGTTGTTTTATGAACTTCACCGAGGTAAGTGGATAGTAAAGGATTTTATTATTGATAAAAAAATTTGTTGTAAATTATGCTTCATTGGTCTTTTTATGTTTTCTACCCACCTTTACCTCTGTGACGGTGAGATAGTGTGATGTCTTTACTGGGCTGGTGTAGCTCATTCCTTATTTAATCATTTCAGATCAGGAAGACATTGTTCCCGAGCCCGTTCCGCAGGAAGACGGCGAAGGGGACGCCTGAAGACTCCGTAGTTATATTTATAGCTTTTATTTTCGAGTTTCTCTTTTAGTTAGTTTGTTCTTTTATACTTTGAGCACGTTTTTTTGGTTTTAGTGTAAGGGATGTTAATCAAATTTTTTATTACGCTTCCGCATTTGACATTTTTAATACACATATTTCATTTTAAAATTTCGGGGCCGTTACACCCCATGACTAAATCGGAGCAAAAGGAATGGCGGGTGAGCCAAAAACTGCAGGCAAAGTCCGGCGGTACCTCCGCAGGTAAAACCCGCAACCACCTCCGATGAGCTCATTCCTGTTTCCCATTTCGTGCGATTTTTCCACAGTTGTGTTTACCATTCTGTTTTCTATAGGTTGACTAAAGAAAAACGTCCAGCTGCAAAGGTGAGTCGGCGGAGCCGCCGCACCGAAAAATTTCACCAACAGTAGATTTTTATTTTTTGACTTTTTTTCGATCAACCGAAGCCCCCTAACGTGTTTTCTCGCAGGGATGAGTATAAAACCGACTAAAATCGGTCAAAAATTGCTAGGCTGAGGCAAATGACCGTCGCGAACGGCGGTGTTGTTGCCGAGTACGGTGGTGCTGCCGTACTAGAATCCCAAAATTGGCCAGAAAAAGATTTTTAACACCGATTTTGAATTTTTTTTGGTATTTTAGGAACGTGAAGCGTGTTTTAATCTCTGCAGAAAAATTCAGAAAATCCAGGGATCGCCAGTAGGCACAGTAGAAAGTTCAGTATTTCGGACACCAATTCGAGTAAGAATTACTCACCTTATTCTCTGTTATGGAATTGAAGCTTAATAATCGATAATATGATATTTTGTGTAATTTAAAAAACTTTGAGAATAATTACAGGTTACTAATGGAGACTGAACCGTTTAATTATTTATTTATTCTGTTTAACTCATTATTGAATTTATAATTTTAAATACATTATGATATACTGGAATGATTGAATGATTTAGTTGTGCTTCCTTGATATATATATTGCTAGTCTTGCGTGATTTATGGTTGATTTGTGAAATTAAAAATTAATATGCAAATAGAAAATTATTTGGTCATGTGAATTAATGAATGGTAGTCTTATTAGATATCCTGTAAGATGGTGGATAGACCAAGTACATAAGGAACCTTATCGTGAACGTTGCCTCATAGCAGACATGGTATCAAGGAATTGTATTTTTGGCGCTCATACCAAATGGGGTATGGGGATGACCCGATTCACCCTCATACCGGACGGGGTATTGAGGGATGATATTTTTGGCACTTATACCGGATGGAGTATGGGGACGGCCGGAGTTCACCGTAGTGGGACATCAGTATGGGTCCCAGAGATACCAGTAGGCAAATAAAAAGAAAAAATTGTTGTTTTTGGTCACTTGAATATAAGATTTGAATGTTAATTGAGTTATTATCTCTATAGGTTGATTTTGAAAATCTCGTAACGGTAAATATATACAATAAATAGTTTTTCTTATGATAAATGAATTTATTTAAATCAAGAGCTCCATTCTCGTAACTATATTAGTCATTCTAAATTATTATGTAAGGAATGTAAACTCGAAACTCTATTATTTCACTTCCATATTTAATTTATAATTTTATTCCCTTTTAAGTTCTGGGTCTTTACAAATAAAATTTGTTCAAGAAATATAATAGTTTAGAGATAGTTAATTAAAGTTCAATAAGCGAGCTAAAATAACTTAACATAAATCATATAAAGAATTAATTGGAAGACAATTTATATTTGGATCATTCCTAATTTTATCATAAATATTATAAATTTTAATATAATATTTATTTAAATTTTGACAAAGTAAATGTCTTCCCTTTTGTCTTCTCTTGATATCTTAATTATTCCAAATTTGCATGCTACGAAAGAGTTGGTAACAAAATTGATAATTGTTTTTGTTTTGGTCTTACTATGCACATTCAAGTATTGTAATAATTAATTTGATTAATATATATATATATACTGATAATTTATAATATTAGATGATAGATTAAATTATTTAATTATTTGTTTTTAAAATGAATAATATTTATTTATTTGATTTTTGACTCTTTATTGTTTTCTTTTTAGTCTATTTTCAAATTAAATTATTTGAAATGAATAATATTTAATTGTTTCATTTTGGTCAAACCGACGGTTCTTCTGTTTTAATTATAGACAATACATACAATATATATATACACATTAAAGATTGGTGCAGAGTGATAAAATTATGCTAATACATACAACATAGATGTGCGGATTTTAGCCCAATATTATGGAACCCAATACCCCAGTTTAGCTCACAATTGAGTACACAACAGTAATGTAATTGTTTTGTAATAAAAAAATTATATTTTATTAATAAAATAATAAATAAATATAAATTTTGCAAATTTGAATCCTTAGTTGTAAATAATAAATATAAATTCTGCATAAAATATTTAAATGTAAAAATAAAATAATACAAACTATATATTTAAAAAAATTGATATGAACTCATGTAATTTTTATTTAAGAAATCAACTATATTAAATAGAAAAAAAACGTTATAAAAATTAAATAAAAGAATTGATATAAACTCAACTGGTTTTTACTAATAAAATCATTAAAATTAAATTTAAAAAATAATAAACAAAAGTTATAAAAATTAAATAACTATCAACCCATTAAAAAAATTACTAACTCATTAACTAGTAATTATTAAAATTAAGAAACAAATACTCTATTGTTAATATACTACTATTTTATAATTAACTCATTATTATTTTATTACTGTTTAAATTAAATCACTATTAATTTAAGCAGTCACTAATTCATTCGTGACTAATAATTCTTAAAAATATATAATACTTAATTTGGTGAAATAGGTATGGAAGGGTGAGATCTTTCTCCTACTATGCCTCACCATATTTTTACCCAGTTGTACTTTACCGCCCATATTTTTTTACCCTTACCTCACAGACCAATATGGAATAATCAGATTTTACCATCCCTATGTTTACATTGCCATCTCCTTCAAAAATCCGTCAAAAAGAACCATTATCTAAAAGTTGATCAAATGGACAACTTGAATAACAAAGAGAGAATGAGTCCTTTCTCTGTCAGAGGTTCCTTCCCTTAGAAAAGTGAGGATAAATTTATACCGGCCAAACACTCTCCATTCTCATTAGTTACATTATATAACTCACAACCAAACAAGAGAGATCTACGCAGCTAACCAATATCATAACTATCATACAAGTCGTCTTTAAGTTGTACGTAGTAGCCAAACATTAATATATATTATTATCTTAATTATTTAAAGGTTGTGTAATGTGTAACACATATTAATTACTAGTTGATATATGAAAAAGTTAAATTAAAGTTTGAAAATAAATTTGAAGCTAGTTGGTATTATATCAAAAGCCAACAACTTTTACTTGATCAATGAAACATATGTTTATTTAGGATAAAATTATATTATGATATATGTATATATGTAACATAATTAATTAAAATTGTATATTTTTTATTCAAAATTTATATTTATTTTAATGGCTGTTAACATGAACAGAATCATGACTACTAAAGAAACCCATGCACAGCTGAAGTGTTTATATAGTCTTTTACACCTCCGTGATAAAAGAAAAATATAAATGAATGTATTTTGTTGAGAGTACAGGGATCATTCTGCAAAATTTCTCCAAACTTCATTTTCTTCTAATCTTCTTGATGAAATCATTATGTTCTTTTTTGTAACAGTTGACAATAAATTAATATACATTGTGAAATTCAAGGCATTTGATTAGCATGGGAATCTATGATTATTATTATCATAATTACTATTTTAATACAAATAAGTATATGCAGTAAGTTCCCACCACCTTTGAAAAGGTGAAAGAAAGAGTTTGAGGAAAGAGAAAAGACATGGAACCTTATCTGAAATTTTTAATACAATCCAAGCTTCTCTCTTTTTTGTGGCAGTCAAGAGACCAATCACTATTTTCCTCCACATAACATACCCCTATCTCCTTAGGAAAAGCCACTCGACTTCAACACTTTCTTCCTCTTCCCACACCCTCCATTGTTTTATATACCATTCGTAGAAAGTCACTCATTTGGGTCTCCTCCCACCTCTTCTTTCTTTTCCATTTTCCAGGGAGCTTCATCAAAACCCAGATTCTGGTTTGCTGCTCTCGGCCCATTTTCAGGTAGGTTATTTGGTTCAATCTTGGTTGTCAACACTCTTGTCAATGTCTGGCTGAAGAGTGTTGTAGGTTACAACTGGAATCTAACAGGTTGTTTGCTCATATATTAATTATGGAACTAGAGATCTTTCTTTTGTGTATTGTGTAATGACTACCCAGTTGGATGTGTTGGTAATTTGTCTCTGCAGACTGTGTAAGTTCAGTGTTTTAACATTTTACTTCACTGCGTTTGGACTCTAGGAGCTTTGGATCATTTAAGAATTTTATATACCGTTGTCGTGTTTATCTTAAAAAAAAAAACATTGTCCTGTGTACCATTTGCTTCAGAAACACTCACTTTGATATCTCCGTCCATCCTTCTCTTTCTTATCTGCCCTTCTTCTTCTTCTTCTTCTTCAAATTTCAGGGAGCTACCTCAAGACCCACATCTTGATTTTCTGCTCTCAAGCCATTTTTAGCTATGCTCTTTGGTTTAAATCTTACTGGTCAACCTTCTGGTTCTTGTCTTACTAGCTGTCTTATCTTAAATCCAGAGAAAACCCATTATACCAGTGTTGCAAGTGTCAGTCAGTGCATGAGATCATGGAACAGTTCAGTGTCAACGTCTGACTGAACAGTGTTGGGGATTACAACTGGAATCTCTTGTTGTGCGTGTAAATCACCCTTTATTACCATATATACGTATAATATATACATATATGCCATTTGCTCCACAACACTCACTTTGGTCTCTCCCTTCCTCCTTCTTCGTCAATTTTCATGCAGCTCTGTCAAGACCCAGATTCTAGTTTGCTGCTCTAAGCCATTTCGGGCAGGTTCTTTACTTCTCTGGTTCAAATCTTTAATGGTCAACCCTCTGGTTCTTGTCTTATTAGCAGGCTTGTATTAAGGTACAAATAAAATTAAACTCCAGTGTCAGCTTATGCATGAAATCAGGTAACGGTCAGTGCCAATTTCTGGCTGGACAGTGTTGTGGGTTACAACTGGAATCTAATGCATTGGTTGGCTCAAATATGACATATGATAGTAGAGATATTTTGTTGTGTTTTGTAAATGAAAATACCCAGTTGTCTTGGAACTTTGTCTCTGCTGAGCAATTATGAAAATTGAGTTCTTCTGAGATTTGTTTAGTGTATTAATTTGACCGGTGAGTAAACTAATATATTTGCAGTTTTACATATTACATACCTGTAATCTACCATAGAGTCTACTTTCAAGGATTCAGGTTTACCTTTGCTCCTCTATGAAATTTAATTATATCGAGATTTGGATTTGAGGGAGAAAATTATATTATAATCTTGGTAATTCTTTGCAGTGAATCCGAATACATCAGTTCAGTGAAGTATTCCTTGGCTGAAATATGTAAATTCTGCGTGTTTCTTTTCTTTTTGGCATCTTTATTTGCTTTGTTTCTTTCTCTATTTAAGTTTGAGGGCATTCGAGTCATTTCAAGAATCGCATTTCATGTGTCTTTTGTCTGATAGATTTCCCTCTTGCTTGCTTGTAGGAACAATAACTTTTCTTGTTTTATGTACATTTTAATTCTGTACAAGTTAATCTTAAGTTTATTGCTGTGTTTGCTGATTTTTCCAGTAAGGGTAAGTGAAAATGGCGCAGATTTTGGCACCCTCTGCCCAATGGCAGATGAGAATGCCAAAGAACACGGCGCTTGCAAGTCCCTTGACATCAAAGATGTGGGGTTCTCTTTTGTCGAAACCAAACAAGCAAGGAACAGTTAAAACTTCTGCCAAGTTTAAAGTGTTTGCCCTCAAGTCTGAAAACAGCACTGTCAATAGGATAGAGGATCTGCTCAACCTAGACATTGCTCCCTACACCGATAAAATCATTGCTGAATATATCTGGTATGTCAATCTTAGCTGAAGTATGTTTCTTTGCACATAAGACTACCATCTTTGATTGAGAGCTGCAACAATCAGGATTTGATCTTTCGTTTCTTGATTCAATTGACACAGGATCGGTGGTTCTGGAATTGATTTGCGTAGCAAGTCAAGGGTAACTAATCTTTATAAGATGCTATAAACAAATCATGCAACTTTCATTTCTAACCATATAAGTCTAAACTTCCTTTTTGCTGGAAATGCTGTGTGTGTAAATTTCAGACAATTGCAAAGCCTGTTGAGCATCCATCTGAGCTTCCCAAATGGAA